TTAACCGTCTAAAGATTTGAGTAAGATTTTCCATCCACTTTTCTACAAATAGATTTTTTTCACACAGTTCAACATCACTAGCTAATGGTGCTATATTAATATTAGGCATTTCAAACTGGAACACCATACGTAGAGTTGCATGGGCTGTATCCCATGTATTATCATACAGATTTCTGGCTCTGAATGTTTTTTCTTTAAAGTTAATGTTGTCTATTACAGCCAAGTTCCAAATATTTGGACCTGACTTTAGTTTTTTTGCGTATTTGCTTCTTTCATTCGTTGTTTTCTAACTTTCACTTTGTAATCTTTAGAATATGCTACCACATTTGCTATACAAAGAACACCACGCAAGTATGTCATAAGCTTTGGTCATTTACAGAAATATCCAATTACTTGTGGAAGCCAAAATTTCTAGCCTTTAAATGCGGTTGTTAAAATTATAGAAGACAAGAATGCTGTGCTTTTCACTATTTCGCTTTTGTTAAATTCAGTTATAGTGCTTTTGCATTCTTTTTGTTTTTGTCTAACAATTTCATATTTTTGAAATAGCAAAGTACGAATTAAACTATCAAAAAGGCTTGTTAAGCATTTTGGTATTGCTTCATAATACTGCTACAAAGAATTGGGACTTTCTAATGTTGACTTATAAGGTGCTAAGCTGGTGTATGATTTTAAAACTTCAAGGGCAAGTGATTTTCCAAATTCTTCATATTTTTTGGGTTTTTGTATAAGTTGTTGTTTGGAAAAATCATTTTTTTAATTTTGGAAATCGTATTAATGACAAACAAGCTGGGTAATTTGCTAGATGATGCGGAAGACGAATCCAGATTAAAATTTTCTATGCATGGAATGAGGCCTTGAAGTAAATTCTTTTTTATTATATCATTTTCTGAGTATGCCACCATTTCAATTAGCTTTGCAAAATGGAGAAGCGTAGTTTCAGTATCACCTAAATGCATTGCAGTGCATTCCGGGTCTGCTTTACCTGTACCCATATGTACGTGCAAATGCCCTCCATTCTTTTCATAACACTTACAACACACATAACGAACTCCCTGTGAATTACGGGTATTTTCTGTGCAGAAGCTTTTATTAATAGCTGGGCAGAGAACTATTCCACGACAAGGTACTTGTAGTTTTTGATTGTATACAATCCATGTATGTTCTATACAGCTTGTTCTACGACTAAAGAAAAACTTCTTTTTTTTGCAGAAAAAACAAATATAGCAATTGATTTTACTTTTTTAGTCGAGCGTTCGTCTTTTAAATTTTTGCTATGCACAGTATTTTGATCATAATTAAAATATCTTGAATATACACCAAGACAATGAAGTTCTTTATTAACATCATTAACAGCATCTTCATCAATTTCCCAGACACCGATTAATTCTCGCAATCCCTTAGCAGATTCTCTATTACAGCGTCGTATTTCTCCATGATCATTATTGATTATGATATATGGTGTAGTTTGTTTTGTCTTAATCGCAGGAATCTTTTTAGTATATTCATCGCCAGTTTCCTCATTACTTATTTCTTGCAAAATTGGTATGTCTTCCACATTAAATTCTTTCCATAGATCATTTTCAAATTCTGCTGAAGCTAGAGCATACTTGTATAGGCTTTGCTCTAAGTTAAACACAGGATCATTGTCATGTTCTTTTTCATCATCTGATGAAATCATGTTCTCAACATTTATTAAATCCTCTTGTAATTCATCTTGGCTATAGTCGAGCGGCAAGAATCCTTGTGAAGATTGTGAAGAATTATCTATTTTATTTGATAGTGGTATTTTTAATTGTTATTTTAATAGTTTTTTTTGTTAGTTTGATTTAATTTGATATTTGATTTATAAATTGAGATGAAATAAGGTCTTTTTATATTTTTTTTTGTTCTAACACAAATCCTGACTAACATCCAAAATAACATCCAAAATCCTGATATCCAGAATGATATCCAAAATCCCGACAATACTAAAATTCCAACACCCAATCCAGACAACTAAAATCCTGATATTACCAAAATCTTGAAATACAGTATTTTAACTTGTTGGGATTTTGGATATTATTTTGGATACCATTTTGATGTCGAGATTTTGTGGTGGAACTTTTTTTTTTTTTTTTTTGGAAAATTTTTAATTTTGTAATAGAAAAAGCTAAAAAAAAAAACAAAAACTTTTTTATCTCTCGGCCAAGCAAATCCAAAACATCAAGTTTTTGAGCGTGAAAGACAAATATAGTTTCAATACTTTTCAAGCATAAACTGGCGTCATAAATTATTTATTTTTCAATTGTAAAATAATAATTATAATAATTCCAATATATTATATTTTGAATTAATCATA